ACAGCCGGCCCTCCGAGATTGCCAACTCTCGCAATGCATTCACAGGACGGTGATATGACGATCGGGCACCGCGGATGCACATGATCGCCGACCGCAACAATGTGAACGCCAGTCGACACCGGACATATGTCATTGTCTCGGCATACAACTTCGTGTCCCCATTTGAAATGAGGCCACACAGGCGCTTGACAAATCTGGAGCACTCTGGCGCACAACAACCGGTCGTTGTGAAAACTAGTGGAGTAAATGTCCCACGGTCCACATTGATGATGCGCTCAGCATACTCCAGCTTCTTCTTCCTCTCATTAGGGTCCAGCGGATAATGCCGGCATTATATTCGGCATTATGAGACTATCAGAGCATTATGGAGCATTAGAAAGGAACAAGACGAGCATTATGTGAGGTTGGAGCGGCATAACGAGTTTCATAGTGAATAATGTCGGGAAATTTCAGGTTTTGGCAACAATTGGCTAAAGCCATGACTAGACTGGACATGAGGTGCAACGCCATGTACATGTACCGGCACATGACTTTTTGATTGTGTAGACACGTAACACCTTTAGCACTAATGCTACATTTACCTGACTGCATAATGCCATTGCTACATAGAGTCTCTATGTAGCAATGATTATGATTGTAGTCAGGTCAATGTACAGGTGATGTAGCATGCCCAACGTTGCAACAGAGGCTGTTACACCTGTACACAAAATCCGATTTACGAGTTTTCTTTTTAGAAATCATGGACGGCCATGGAGGAGATCTCGAGAGTAGACGTAGATCTACGCGAAGTGAATATCAAACAGACGAAGAGGAGTTTTCCTGTTATGCCATAGGCTCTGGCCATAGCATCTCTAGCGATTCTGATGTAAACACTGATCCATTGATAAATTTGGACTTGGATGAAGGAGCGGCTAAACAGAAAGAGCTTGTTCCAAATAACTGCCTTTGCGGAGTCCAGCTCAGCAGGCTCGAAAGGAACTAGAATTTCTCATGGACGCAGTACCAAGTCGATTGGAGTGCTCAGCAGCGCATGTCTTGTTTTCCTGGTGGAGCACGTACAGTTTGTCGTAGATGGTTGTAATGTAAGGCTTACTTACAGTCAAGTGCGATCAGAAAAGAAGAGTATTGTGGTCAACCATTTGTCTCAACGCAACCTCAGGAGAAGAAGACAGCGCAAGCAGAGGATGTAGAGCGGCAAAATAACGTCTGACCACGTGTTTTCAGGATTTCCGCAAATGAAAGGATTCTCGATCTGAGAGCGTCTCTCAGGAACTGGCCTCACGTGAGCTGTTTCAGATGAAGACATTATTCACAGAGTGGAAGCAGTGACAGCTTGTCTTCAGGCAGGAATACCACTTCCAGCATCCAAGTGATCACCAGCAATAATGGTTTCACCTCTCACTACATGGATAAGTAAGGGAAAAGATTTGATACACCCACTATTCCGCCACAGCCCTGCATCAAAGTTGCAATGGAGAGCAGCCAATGGAGACGCGATCATGTCTTATAGTGCTAAGGAGTGGTGGAGCTCGTGAGAGATATTGCAGCAGATTCAGAGGCAGATCGACTATATGCATATTTTCCTGGAAGTTTGACAATGTGCAGCCTTTCTTCCATTTTTGTTCCAAACCAAGAGCATTATAGCCCTTGCTGAAGCATTATAATCAGCATTATAAGATACTTTTTGGAGCATTATGATAAGCATTATACGAGCATTTTCTGAGCATTATCCGCTGGCCCCTATTCGAACCCCAGTTGAGGTGCCTTTTTTGGACCCTTTTTCAAGTTTCGAATCGCGCCGCACTGCACAGTGTACCAGAAATAGACTTCAAAAACACAATTGGAAGAGCATTCCATGGGAGATTGCCAAAAACATTGTGACGAAAACTCAAAATTTAGCGGTGAGGCATCCTGCAGCTTCATAACTCGAAGAGAATTGGTGAGCACACATGCTCATTCCCTGGGCACTGCAAATTCACAACTCATTTCATTTCACAGAATTATTTTCAACGTTTCGGCAAATTGCCATCATATGTTTGAAGAAGAATGTGATATACCGGCTGCAATGCAAGTTGTGCAGGGAAAAATACATCGGAGAGACGGGTCGCACACTGGAGACGAGACTGGAGGATCTAGGAACACAACGGTGAAGCTCGTAGGCGCACTGTGGATAAGCCATGGGGTGACCACATGCGAGCTAAGCATGCAGGGATCAACCTAGGTGTCGGGGACAGCATCTTCTCGGCAGTGTCTGTGGTTGCAAGAGCCAGTGACAAGGCAAGCCGCAAATTGCGAGAGGCAGTGGAGATCAGAAACGAAGGCCCAGAGATCAACACCAGTGCTGGATGGTCATTACTCTAAAACAGTCACACCACACTGGCTATCTAGGTGACAGTATTTTCTGGAAAACACTGACATGGTCACATTCGTGTATTGCTTGCGAACCTGGTCAGACATTTCTCAAGTTATCTGGTGAGATCTGCGCTGTGCTAACTTATTAGTATTACCAACACCCAGCATATTATGACTCAGTGACAACTTGTGATCTTTCACTAGTTTTAGACATGTCATATTTCTAGCACTGAGTTAACATGTGTAGTCATAGAAATACTATCAACACCTAAGAGCACCAAATTAGTGTATATAACTGCTCCTTGGCAGACTTCCACTTCATATTGCATCCTGATGATGGCAATTTGCCGAAACGTTGAAAATGATTCTGTGAAATGAAATGAGTTGTGAATTTGCAGTGCCCAGGGATGAGCATGTGTGCTCACCAATTCTCTTCGAACTCAAAATTTGTCCCGTTTATGGCCAAAAGGATATCATCTTTTCTGAATGAACTGTAAGTACCGTACTGGCAATATATGTTGCCGCAGTGAGGCCATGAAGCGTTACATTGGCACATGTTTGCCGCACGCAGGGCGTTACATGCAAAGTCGCACAGGAGCCGTTACACAGGTTTCTATATTGCCGCAGTCCTTTTTTTGCTATTGCCGCATCACTTTTTTGCTATTGCCGCATCATTTTTTTGCTTTTGCCGCATCATTTTTTCTTTTCATCCACATTGAAGGCACAGAATTTCAGTTGCTATCCAACTGTTACAAACCCGACGGCAAAGGGCGACAACGATATCAATAGAAGACTGTATATTTTAACTATCAGCGTGATCTGTTCACAAAAAGATCATCAGAAGGAAAGTGGCATAGGGGAAGAGCGCTTCCTCCAAAAACTACTGTCACTCACACAGTTAATGAGTGTACAACATATTACTCTTCTTCGCAAAACGACCTCGGGAAAGAAGAAACCATTGAGATTAACCACTGAATGATGCGCCTTCGAGTGTCAGGACTTCCTGCTGCGTCCAGTTTTGAACTTTTCACCACGCGGTACACGTGCTTTCACAGTTTTCAGCCTTTTTTTGCAGTGCAAACTGCAATGAAAAGATCGCCGCACCCCGCCGGACGAGCGTTACGAACTTGACGAAAATTTGTCGCACTAGCCTGGTCGCGCGTTACGCCGCACCCCCCCCCCCTGCGTTACGCGTTACGCGGCAACATATATTGCCAGTACGGTATCCATTACTGACTGAGTACGAGGTCAAGATAGGAAACAAAAGCCGAGTAAAAGCGGAGTTTTTTTATTTCCTATACTGACCAAGTACGAAGTCAATATTAGATTTATCACGACAAACAGTCCGTATTTCAAATAATTAATTCCAGAACGATAACCTCATGAATCCCGGTTTTATACCAGTTGCACCATGCACTACATACAAGGCACCGTTCAACTGCGCAACCCATAAGCAGTCAACTACAAGCAGTCCTAGGCTAAGGTCAAGGCAGTAAGAAGTGAAGTATGCAGGAATATTTGACTGCTTAGGCGATAATCAATGGGAGTCAATACGGTACTATTATTAAAGTATCTAATATTGACTGAGTACGAGGTCAATATACATGTAGGAAATAAAAGCCGAGTAAAAGACCGAGGCGAAGCCGAGTAAAAGACCGAGGCGAAGCCGAGTAAAAGACCGAGGCGAAGCCGAGGTCTTTTATGAGGCTTTATTTCCTATACTGACCAAGTACAAAGCCAATATTTGATTTATCACGACAGACAGTCTGTATTTCAAATTCCAGAACGATTACCGCAATATCTCTAATATAAGCACAGTCTCCAATAATAGCACGTCTCCAATAACAGAACACCTTGGGGTTGCATTCAAAACAATAAAGTGCTCAGTCTCCATTATAAGCACACTGTGTAAATTCATTATCTGTAAAGTAAAAAAAACCCTGAAATATGTGTGTCTGACATGAATTTGGCATGGCAACATGCCTCTGAAATGAGGTTGAAATAATAATATAATATTTGTTTGTCTCTTTCCCTCAAACCAGTTAATATTATAATTATATAAAGGAACGTCTCCATTAATAGCACGGGGCGGAGGTACATTGAAAAAATAAAGGACCGTGCTTATATTAGAGATAATTATATTAATACGGTACCTCGTGAATACCAGTTTTATGATTGCACAACCGTTGCACCATCACCTACTCATACTGTGACCGTGCTGCACTACTAGGCACCGTTCAACTGCGCCACCCATAAGCAGTCAAAATTAATAAGCAGACAATATAGCGCTAAGGAGTGAAATATGCAGGAATATTTGACTGCTTAGGTATAGCGAAAATCAATGGGAGTCAATACTAAGACTAAACTCTAAAGTAAGACTAAGAAAGTGATAAGGGAGTGTTCATCATGCATGATCAGCGTATCACCATGCATGATCACTGACCGTCTGTGCTGATCAGTGCAGTCACAAGGCGCCCGGATTGCCTGAAGCCAGAACGGGTGCAGTCCACAGTCAGTACAGCATGGTACAGTGACAGTAGCAAAAACGTGTCCCGCCTCGAATATCTCACCTTCACCATCTACGCTTGGGCCGCTTGCGGCGCGCGCATACACACTACCTCACGCCGGTTTCTTGAAAAACCAAGAAGATTGTTTTGTTTTTTTCCAGAACAATCGCTCAAATACATCTGTATGTTTACACAAGGGTCAGTCTTGACGAAAACAGCCTGAACGGCCTTTGAAGGCGACTGCACAATTTCCGTGTAGTAGTCGCTAATCGGAATGGGAAAGAGGAAGTTATACCGCCAGTTCAGGAAGGCCGAGCGAGCTATGGAGACGGCAGCAAACATGAGCGGCCGGGCAAGCGGACGGGTTCAAGCTGCGGAATTGACAAATGCTAGTTTTCCTGGACCTGCAGCATGGCAGCAATATCAACCATTACAGTGAGTGCATTCTGGTAATTCTTGTCATTCTCAGTTTTTGCCTTTTCCGCAGACAAACGTAAAACGAAAGAATGCCAACAGTTTTCGCTGAGTTGTTACCGATACAAAATCACCGTGTCAAACTCAAACAGTTACAAACTCAGTGATGTGAAAGAGTAGCGCGTGGATTTTGCCGTTTGCATCTGTACAGGAAAAATGCCTCATCGTAACGATGGTAATCTCTCGTCACCAAAACTGCACTGCCACAGTGCCAGGCTGTGTTCCGGTGATAGCTACCTGGCCCGTCCTTGCGGTACGCTTGCGTTTCATGCGTGCCCAAACGGGCCAAATGCAAACGCGTGTTCAGGCTTTCACGAGCCGTATTTTATGTTAGAGCGTGGGTCGTCTTCGGGTACTTATTATTTTGACTGCTCCAGTCAAACTGACTTGCATGTACATGTCGGAGTGGAACCACACATCTGTGCGTATTATTATTCATTTTGCTGGTTTTTGGAGTTTTTGGTGCAGTGCGTATGGAACGTGCCGAAATAGAGATTCCAACATGTTCATTTCTCAGTGTGTATCAGGTGCCTAGTTGTGTGCACGTATGCATTCTCGCGGAAATGTCTATGTGTGCACGTTTGCATTCTCGCCGGAAACGTCTACGGATGACGACAATAATTTAACAAATTCATGGACTGATCTGCTTTTTTTAGTGTTTGCACACTCTTGGCTGCTGCTGTGGCACTTTCGTATTTTCCGTGCTGCTTCGCTGTCCACGGCTGCACTAGCCGTATTAACTGTCGTACCCATATGCACACATACAATCCCTGGCTACGCTTTGGAACTGTTTTCGTTGCCTGTGTCCTCATCTCTCTGCGCTTTGTTTTCGCTGCCTAGGCTCTCATTCATCTTTGCTTGCTTGCTTGTATTGCTGACGTAACATATGCTGGTTTGTATTCGTGGGTCCCCATGGTGCATGGGCCACGCATACTCATCCGGCGGATATGTGTGAATAATAATAACGAGAGAGCTTGGAAGCTCAGGGCCCTACGCTATGCTTTTTTTGCCTTGATGACCTAGGCAAAAAAATGCATAGGGATATAACCGGATGTTATAAATTCTTATAAATTTCTCGATCACTGTAACCAGATACTATATACAGTCAGAAAGTGCAACAACTAGGCACAAAGCTGACAAAGTACTGAGACATTCGACGTCCTGACATCTAGCTTCAACACATCTCCCTTTGTCCCGTTGGGACTGTAGCTTGTGCTCGTTTTCGTTGCGCTTACCTTCCCCTCTTTGGTCTTTCCATAACCTTGAACCTTCCGAGTTGGAAGACTGTCGTTTAGCGCTACGGAGATGTGCTAAAGCTAGGTTTCAGGACGTCGAATGTCTCAGTACTTTGTCAGCTTTGTGCCTAGTAGTTGCACTTTCTGACTGTATATAGTATCTGGTTACAGTGATGGAGAGTTACTCTTAACTCGTATCCATATGTCCTCTTCCTTTCTACATTTATTATTGGCTCAACATCAGAGTTATAAATTTCTCCTATTTTTTTCACGACATAACCTGGGATTCGAACCCGCACTATCGCCCTGCATGCATCCCCCGATACACTTCGCATACATACTTTTTTGCCAGCTAGCTGGCCTCTGCGTACACCGCAGACACATCCACACACAACAGAAAGATACAGATCACAGTAGTAGTGTGGTCTTTGTTCACTCACGATAATAGTGTGGTGTTTGTCCACTCACAGTGGAAGATGGAAGAACTTAGCGTAGTGTATACATGAGCAAGAAAAAGGGCATGCCACCTCGCACATATACATGTAAACGTTTGTACTAGACCAACATGATGCAAAAAGTGAACCACTGTGGTGAATGGGGTCGCCCGATAATTAACCAGGCCGAAGCTGGCGGAAAAAACGCCAGGACCCCGGCGGGGGCACAACCCTGAGGGAAAACCGGTTACAATATCCCCATTTGATAAATGAACAAAACGTAGCCTGTATGACCTATCCAGAAGTGAGAATAAAGGAGAGGGCGGTTGGGCAACTACAAGGAAAGAGAAAGACCACGATGAAGAGAAAAGTTTGAGAAAATTGAGAAAAAACCAGCTGACGCAATCCTGGTGCCGTAACTATGGTGCAAATGATGGCAAAAAATACATTTTTCGTTTCATTCGCTACGCTTAGCCAACGAAAAATAACACAATTCTTTCAAGTTGCTTCACGTTATGATCTTGCATTTGAAAGCCCTATTTGAATATTGTGGCCAGCCGCCTTTGATGGTACGGTACGGTACGGTCGAGAATCATACGACACCGTCTACCGCCTTGATGACCTAGGCAAAAAAGTATAGGGATGTTATACATTTTTCAATTCTCCTATTTTGTTAAGGCATAACCTGGGATTCGAACCCGCACTATCACCCTACATGCATTCCTGATAGACTTCGCATTCTTCCAAGTTGCTTCACGTTATGATCTTGCGTTTAAAAGCCCTATTTTGATTATTGTGGCCAGCTGTTTGTGGCCAGCTGTCTTTGATGGTACGGTACGGGACAGGTACGGGATAACGCCAGGCGTGACACAAACAAAGGAACAAACACCAAATGTGTGGACCCTGGCTAGCGCCAGACATTACTGAAGTAACGTCTTCCTGCATAGCTACGGGAACGAGCGAGCTTGGAAGCTCAGGGCCCTACGCTATGCTTTTTTGCCTTGATGACCTAGACAAAAAAAGCATAGGGATGTTATAAATTCTTTTAAATTTCTATTTTTTGTTTTAGCCACAACCTGGGATTCGAACCCGCACTATCGTCCTGCATGCATCCCCGGACCCCCGATACACTTCCCATACATACTAATTCTTCCAAGTTGCTTCACGTTATGATCTTGTATTTGAAAGCCCTATTTGAATATGCATTGTGGCCAGCCGTCTTTGATTGTACGGTACGGTACGGGACAGGTACGGGACAGGTACGGGACAGGTACGGTCGAGGGTAATACGACACCATCTACCGCCTTGACGACAGCAAAACAAGAATAGGGATGTTATAAATTTTTCAATTTTCCTATTTTTTTTCAGGCATTACCGTACATGCAGTCACTCAGGTGCCGTTTACATGAGAAAAATATGCCCGGGCTTATTCGCCTTGGGCTTATATTTCAACCGTTTACATGACAGCTGAGTTCAGGTGAGTGACTGCGAGTTTTCCGCGCATTATCACTTTCACATCGCACATGAGCGCAGTGGTAAATGTTCGTGTATGATGAAATTTGGATCAAGAAGTGCCGGTTCACGCTTCTACTGCCTTTCCGATTTTCACTTAGTTTCGAGAAGGTGAAGGATCGGCTAGGACCTTCCACTTAACGAAAAATGCAAAGAAAAAATGCCAAAAAGGAACCAAAAAGACCCACTGTCCACGGCAACATCCTTTCAGGTTCACGAGGCAAAATCAAAAAATACGGGTCGCTCGCTGGACCGTTTACATGACAAAATAATAATAATAATACCACAGCACGCGTACAAAGGCCAAAGAACAATGCATGAGAATACACTGAAATTAAGCCAAGTCCGCTTCTGTCTCCAGTCAACAAAAAACTCATCCATAAACAATGTCTGATCTCCATTTCGACTTGTCTGCAGCAAATGCTCGTGCTCCTTCTAGGTCGCTGGCATTCTTCAAAGGAATGTCGTGCCCTGCCAGGTCCTTCATGATGGTGGTAGGGAGAGTAGCCGCGGGACGGCCCCTTCGTCCACGTGACCCCGCTTGAAAATAGCAGGACATCGCAAGGCAAGGGGGTGACTGCTCACTCATCCTCAGCACATGGCCAGTGAGGCTACGGCGTCACTTGGCAACAAGCTCCGACAGTGGCTGCGAGTCACATCTGGAATACAGATCATCATTCGTAATTCTGTCTGGATATCGCACTCCCACCAGGTTTCTGAGCTGTCGGCGGTGAAAACAGTCCAGTCGCTGAAAGACTGCCTGGGTTACTCCCCAAGTCTCACAGTTGTAAAGGAGGACGGGCAGCACAAGCAAGCTGTACAGCTTGAGCCTGGACCTTTCTGACACATGCTTGCGCCGCAGCCAGAGGCTGAACATACTACCGTATGCCTGGGATGCCAGCGAAATCCGCCTGTCGATATCCTCAGCGCCCCCCATAAGAGAGCCAAGCTGCCTGATGCTCCGCCAGGATGAATCGCCTGACGTAAAGTGCACCCATTCCGTTTTTTGCTCATTTACTTTAAGGTTCCAAGACTGCAGTGTCGAGGATATGATGGGTAGTGATTCCTCGAGCCAAGGTTTACTGGTAGAGTAGAACGTTATGTCATCAGCGTACCCGGTTTCTGGAGGGATGCCTCCATCAGTTATAGGTCGCTGTGGGAGTCTTGGGCGACATTCTTGCAGGGCGGCTTCAAGGTAACAGACGAACAGCACGGGACTTAGACTGTCCCCCTGGGGCGTGCCGATGGTGGTATGGAATGCCTTGGAAGTGGAGCTGCACATACGAACAGATATGGTGGTGCCATACAGAAGATGCTGTATCATGTGGACTTCATCGTGGCCAAGGAACGAGCTCATAACATCCAGGAGCTTGGCTCTGTTGATGGTGTCAAATGCCTTTGACATGTCTAGCCCCAAGGCATGACACTCCCACACGTACCTCTGTGACTTGGCCGATAACCAACGTTGGGTGAACACGACATCACTCGTTCCCCTTGCAGCTCGAAATCCCGACGAGGTGGGTCCCAGAAATTCTGACACTGCTGTTGATATCCGTGCCAGTATCACGAGTGAGAATACTTTCCTTATTGTATTGAGTAGGACTATCGGTCTCAAACTCGTTAGTGGACCGCGGGGTTTGTTTGGTTTGGCCAACGGGATTAGGACGCCTGGGCCGACGACGCTCGAGAAGTCTAGGCCTCGGGTGATGCTGGTATTCAGGAGATCTGCAACTATAGGACCGGTATATTCTGCGCCATATTTCAGCAGCTCTCCATGTACCAGGTCCTCTCCACAAGCCTTTTGGTTCTTCAACCGCTGAAGGGCTCGGCTCACCTCAGCAATGGCCACGGGAACCTCCAGCTTATGGGGCGTTGGGCGTTCGACTGTTGATATCAGCGCAGAATAGAACTGCTGTCGAAAGTGCGCCGCGATTATGTCCGCTTTTTCCTGGCTCTGGGCAAGAACTTCACCGTCGGTAGACTCAACCTTCACCGAACTATCTGCAGACTTCCGTTTCAGGGCCTTCGCTCCCTGAAACATCTTCACCGAATCAGGAGCGTTATCGATTTGTTCAGCAATTTTGTCGAGGCGATCATTGGCTTCTGAAAGCTGGGTGTTTCTGATTTTATGGAGAACTTGATTTCTTGCTTTCTTTAGCTCTGCTGCGTTGCTCGGCCCAGAGTCGATCAGAACCCTGAGCCGACTTTGCTCACGGGATAGTTCTTGAATTTCCGCACTTTCTTTTATCAGAGTGCCACGATTTGAGCGTCTCATGTGTCCAACAACCTCTTTGGCTGACTCCCTCATTAGGTTGGTTGTAGATTTCCAGAAATCCGCAACGGGAATGCTGTCTGCCACACTAGAGAACAGTAGAGAGGATTGGAGCTTCAGCTTTAGGTTTTCTCGGTATTTGAGGCTCTTTTCAGGATTCGCAAGCTCCGCCACAGCAAGAGGTTTCTCCATACTTTTTGTAGATTTTGCATCGTATGCTCTGAACAAGCGGCTTGTCTCCAGATCGGCAATAACGAGCTTATGATCACTGGCAAGCTGTGTCCCTCCATACGAGCGTGCCCTAATCAGCTGCGGACGCAGGTGCGTAGGGAGCAGCACGTAGTCAATCATGTTGTAGATTTTCTTTGTTTGGCCTGTTCCCTTGACCTTGACATGGCCTGTCCAGGTAGTCCTGTAACGCATTGAATATCGGAATACAGTGTTTGCCAGCAGGAGTTGTTGAGAAGCAGCCCACTCCACCAGCGCAGCGCCATTCTCGTTTCTAACTCCTTTGCTGTATTGGCCGACACAAGCGCTGGGAGTTGAACCAACTTTGCTGTTGAAATCTCCGGCGCAGATTTTGAGCGTTCTACTGCTCTGAGTCTTCCATGCTCGTGAAAGCGTTTGGTAGAATTCGTCTCGGAGAGCAGGGTTAGCAGTGGCCGTCGGGTTGGTTGGGCCGTAGGCCACGATGAATCTCACGTCCAGTGCCGTCAGTCGACTCTGTCGTGCCCGCCGGTCCTGGGGGATCTTGAAGTCGGCGTATCCGACAAAATAAGCCCTGCAGTTTTCTGGAAATGCCTGATCCCTCCACGTAACCGTGCTAGTTTATGAACAAAGCTTTAGTCGCACCAGGATCTAAGCCACTCGTCTCTTTTCGGGCCTAAATTTTGTATTTTGATGACATGCGGTATATAATGCGCACGGGACACTTGGAATTTTTTGGCAACCTAACTTTTAAAAATATAAGACTATCGGTACATACAAGACGCTATCAGTGGTTAAAAAGTTGAAAAGCACGACCAAAGTTCTAGCAAAAGTTGCTCATGGTTTGTCCTTCACTAAGAAGTCGGAACGGATAAAATAATTATATACATAATAAACGTAACATTGCAAGTCCATTAAATTTTTTGCAGTGTGTACGTGAACTGCAGTGTGTGTAGTGTGCCCATCATTGCCTTCAAAAAAGTGCGCTACTGTTTGTTTTAATCATCGAGTCGTTCTTGTGAAGCTTCCTTTTCATATCTTATCCTCGATACAATGGAGCCTCCTAAGTTGGGTGGTTGTTGCTTTGCGTTGTCGAATTGTGATGAGATGACCGTACTGCCCAATGGTCTAACTGGTCCGGCATCGTCACAAGCCACCATTCCACGCAGCCTTGGAATGTAGCATATATTCTGTTCGATGGCACTCACCTTCTCTTCTTTGGTATGGGTTCATGTCGATGTGTGTGTGTGTGTCTGTGTTTGTCTGTGTGGATGTTCTTTTTGAAACATGTGCTCAGTCCTCAGCCTGGAGTCCAATACTTGCTCCCCATGCCACCGGCACTCATTGTGCCGACTCGGGTACCGTATTATGCTGCAATTGCTCCGCAGCAGCTTCAGCAGCAGCAGCAGCCCCAGCAGCAGCTTCAACATCATCAGCCCCAGCAGCAGCTTCAGCAGCAACAGCCCCAGCAGCAGCTTCAGCTGCAGCAGCAGCCCCAGCAGCAGCAGCAGCAGCAGCCGCAGCAGCAGCCCCAGCAGCAGCTTCAGCAGCAGCAGCAGCCGCAGCAGCAGCCCCAGCAGCAGCTTCAGCAGCAGCCGCAGCAGCAGCCCCAGCAGCAGCTTCAGCAGCAGCAGCAGCAGCCGCAGCAGCAGCCCCAGCAGCAGCTTCAGCAGCAGCAGCAGCCGCAGCAGCAGCCCCAGCAGCAGCTTCAGCAGCAGCAGCAGCAGCCGCAGCAGCAGCCCCAGCATGGTACTTTAGCACAGGTAACAGGTCCCATGCAGAGCCCAGCATCAGCTGGATTATGTAGTGTATATGGGGGTGAAGGCCTGCTGCCTCCACCTATCCCTTTTGTGCAGCAACCTCCACTACCACCAACACCACCACCACCGCCGCCGCCGCCGCATGCAAGGCTGAAACCACACAGGAGATGGTCCACTCCACCGGTGTCAATGAGGCCACCATCAACGCATCACTCGAACGTACAAGATGTGGAACTGGAGGTTGAACAGGAGGTGGGTGTGAAGGTGGAAATGCAGAGAGACGCAAAATCTGGTGCACCAGTGATGAGCAAGGATATTATGGCCCAACAGTTGGCTTCAGAGCCGGGGTACTTGAATGTTTCTGCTGAACGCACTAGTACCATGTCACACAGCCATTGGAGCCGCGTGGGACACTCGCCTGCATGCAGTCATGTCCAAGGGCCCCGTACTGGTAAACGCATCAGTGGCAGCCGGAATGCAACGCTCGTCGATCCACGGACGGCGGCCAAATGCACTAGTGCTGTGTTTGCAGGCTACTCCAATGCCGGCACACAGGAAACCACCAACAGCACCACAGGACAACCCGTGCCTACGTGGGCGGTAAGCGAACTCACCATGCCAGGTTCACCGGCGCACTACTTCCAGAAAGATGCCACAGAAATTCAGTCCATGACAAAGTCACTGTCCTCTGTGCGCTCATCGGCAGAACACAATGGTGAACAGAGCCAAGAGTCTGAAGAGACGGAAGGGAGCATTGCTTCAACTCAGCCTGGTGCGATGCACGAAGCGCAGCGTAGGGAACGCAGACGCATGAAGCAGCGCAATCAATGGGAGAGCGTCTCGGTAAAGGTCTCCTTGAATAAAGACCTCAGCAAGTATTGGTGGAAGAAGCAGATTCTCCACAAGGTCAGTGCACGCATGTATGAATTTGCGCTTCCTCACTCCAATAATGGTCCTGTTCGGTCCTCCACCTTCTTCCATCATACGATTAGTAATATTACTACATGTATTAACCCTTTATGGACGGATTACTAGCACAGTACGCACCAGAATTACAAAATGTCAGTACAATTTTCAACTTTACCATGTCAAAACTTTGGTGTCCTTCACTTGATTTTCACAATCAAGGGCTCATTGGAAAGCTCTTGACGAGAGCAACGCCAGGGTACCAATCTCCATTATCCAGCCGCCACAAATCAGGCGCGGTAACACAGCAAAGTCGTCTCCAAGCCTGATATGCAAGCAAATTCGTCCCATCAACGCCATTCCACTCTCCTTCATCGCAGAACGCTCAAATCTGTTTGAGACGATTCAAACTTCAGCCGGCTACGTCATAATCATGTGCTGAGTCGCTCAAAGAGCACACGAAAAGGGATTTCCCCCCAAAATGGCGAAATGATTGATCAAAAATTTGAATTTGCCGAGGTAAGAATACGGCGTGCGATATCTCTGGCGTCCGACATTGTAACTCTTCGGCGATTGTTGCATTGGACAGCTTGGAGTTCCCGCTACCACGTAGACCCTTCGATTGTGGAATTTGCTCAAGAAACAATGGAGTTACGAAGTTACGAAGTTTCGATCTTATTAGATCGAAACTCGTACAGTCCGTCCATAAAGGGTTAATAGGTCGCGACACTGAGTTATGTCTTGTCTCATGTCACCATCTGTGCATACGCGTTTCGGGCACACGCGCGTGCTCGCGGCTCGCACGACCTGAACCATGTGAACCGTGAGCAGTACTTTCATCCATATTTGCATGCAACCTGCCCTTATTCATACATGTACTGATAGTGTAGCCAGTGCTGTTGTTAGTTTTATGTTTCGCAAGTGGAGACAAGTTGTAGTTTGTTTTCCTCTGCTCGAATGATGTGTTTGTTCTTGCAATAAGTCCTTCCGAATAATACCTTTCTCCTTGTCTGAGTCCTGTTCCATCGTGTCTGTTGTGAGAGTCAAGTGACTTTATTAGTGAGGGTTGTGACAGCCCGGACAGCACGAGATTACGAGTCCAGTGATCCGACATTCTGGTCCTTCGAGCCGGATCCTGTTGCGATTCGTCAGGTATGGACACATCGGAACATCAGACATCAGAAGTGGACGACGGAGCGAGCGTTGCTTCTCCTCGTGAGGAAGCTGCTGCTGCCGCCGCCGCTGAGAACACGCTCGGAGAGACAAGAAATTCGAGTGATGTTTCGGTTCTCGAGAAGCTCGTGAGAGATCGAAGCAAATTGAAAAGCAGTTTCACAAGAGTGGCTGGCGAGTTGCAGCGGGAGTTTGCTAAAAGAGCACCAAGTCTGCGGTACCTAGCTAGAGATTTACAAGAAGCTGAGCAACTAGATCAAGAGATTCGGGAGCTGGTTACCAGACACAGGGAAATCTTGGAGTCAAGAGATGACGACCGGGAACTGCTCAAACTAGATGGTTGGGACAGGGCGTACAGGACGCAGCGATCCTTCCTCTCCGATGTAAGCTCATACGTAGAGCGTGAGGAAAGGATGCAGGCTTCAACACGTAGTCCCTCCGTTGGTGTTGGCAGAAGCAGTTCCAGGTCAAACTCGAGAGGCACCCTGGACTTGGATGCCATGGAACAAATGTTGATGGTAGCAGAGCGTGCGCCGAATTCTGATATCCCTGGTGCCATTGGTCACACTTCGTTGCAGATGAGCAACAAGAGTCCTGTCACTGCAAGTGCTGCTGAAGTCCATGAAAGCAGTCTGGATGGCGTGCCTGCTGGCAATGCTGGTCATTCATCAAGTGGTGCTGGGCACCCAGCCATGCAGACTGTAAGTTCTAGTCTTGCTATTATGAGTGGCAGAAGATCAATGCCTGTGCTTGGTAGGACAACCCCTTCTTTGTCACCTCTACAAGTCAATAGGCCAGGTAGTGTATTGGGTACACTCACTGCATCCAGTAAGTTGGCTGGTACTACTACTAGTAGAAGTCAAGCAAGTGTGACCACCAGGTCCAGGGCACCTCAACTGGCTCTGGGTGTGGGTACACAAAGTGTGAGTGCTGTGCAAGTTGCTCAACAGCATCAAGTATTAGTTTCTGCTGTGAACAGTGGCAGTGTACCGTCAGTACCTGTGCCAGTGGCAGCTCCCTGTGCTCCACCAGTGCTAATGTCCGCACCCACAGCCACCATGCAGCTACCAACAGTGCATCAATCGGTAGCCACAGTTAGCAACACTGTGCCTTTTCCAAGTTATTGGTCAGGCCAGCAAGCATGCACCCAGGCGATGCCACCACTGCAGCCTGCGCTGCTGCAGCAGCCACAGCCGCAGACAGTTGCACCTATTGTTTCAAAACTGCCAATTTTCAATCCAGCAGCTGGACAGCTCAATCCATCGGCCTCATCGTTCAAGCCCATAAGTAGGCCAGCAGTGACCCTGCCTGTAACAGCACCAGTAACTGTTCAGTCGACACAGCTTCCACCATCCTACAAGCCGCCCACCATGCCGGTAGTAATAGAGCAAACTGTGAAGCCCATGGAACTGCCTAAGTTCAGCGGACTGGACCAGGACTACATTCCGTGGCGCCAAAGGTTCATCCGCGTCATCCATGAAAATCCCCGGTACACGAGCGATCACAAACTCGCGAGGCTGCGTGAGGCAGTGGATGGAGGCCGTGCTGCGGAGATTGTGAGAGGGATTCTGGATGGCCCGGACGCCTACAGCCATGTATGGACCGAGCTCGATGCTTGGTATGGTGGTAGCGACAGGCTAATAGAGCACCAGATTCGGGATGTAGTGAGTCAAGCACGTATTACCAGTGACGCAGACTTGAGTGGGCTGCAACGGTACGCCATCAAGCTCCGTACCACTGTCGCCAACCTCCGAGCAAGTGGTGTGAGTCCTGGAGTAGAGCTGTACATAATGGCGTCCGAGAAGGTACCCAAGCGTCTCTTGGTAAAGTATTTCGAGAGGCATGGCCAGGTCAATGACGTCTTCACGTTCTCTGCATGGCTGGTGGAGCACGTCCGCACTCTGAAGCGGGCAGCCGACAGGATTCCCACTGAACGCCCCAAAGACATCAGCAGTCAGGCTACCAGGGAACGATCCACGGCCACGCACCGTACATTTGTTGGGACTCATGACGCCGTCAGCAGCGGTGCCAAGGCGTCTTGCAAGAAGTGCAGTGGGCAGCACACCCTAGCCGAATGCAGCAGCTTCAAGGCATTGTCAACTAGCAAGCGTTGGGATTTGGTGAGGTTGCTCGAGCTGTGTGCGTGTTGCCTGTCATCTGGTCACTGGGCCGCTAGCTGCAGCAAAGACACCTGCAGTAAGTGCAACAAGCGGCATCATGGTTTGCTGCATGCTGAGATGAAGGGCCAGACAGGTGCGAGGCGCGGGCGACCCTCGCCAGCTCAGAGGTCTGTCACCAACCATTCTTCCTCGTCCACAGCCAGCCGTACTGGAGCTGGCTCCATTGGCAACTCTGCTGCGGTGAACGAGAACAGCCTCAGTACGCATGGCTGTGGTACCACTGCCGCATTCATGGTGTTGCAGGCCGACGTCATCGGCGAACATGGCAAGAAGATGAAGGCCACTGTGCTGCTTGACTCCGGATCGTCTTGCAGCTACATAACAGAGGATGCAGCTCACAAGCTGGAACTTGAAGGCCCGAAGTCACAAGTGGAAACGGCAGTCATCGGCGGCGGCAAGGTGACTGGGCTGAGACAACAGGTCAGCGTCAGCGTGTGCCGCACTGATGGTGACACTCCGAGCGTCACTGTGCTTGATGCCTGGGTACTGCCAGCAGTCACGGTCAACCTGCCACCAGTCGACTGGAATGCAGAGAAGAAGCACTGGTCCCACCTCCAGGACATACAGTTCCCCGACTCAGCTGGTCAGAGCATCGACCTACTGATCGGATTGAACGCTGCCAGCCTTCACACTGCGTATGAGGAGCGGAGTGGCAGTGAGGGAGGTCCGATTGCTCGGCTTACACCGCTGGGGTGGATCTGCTTTGGCCCGACGCCAATCGACGCTACTGCACCGCAGGCATTCACACTGCATGGCGCCTCCGTATCCAGCACAGCTCAACTCGACCAAATGGTGGAGAAGTTCTGGAGCCTAGAGGCTGTTGGTATGCAGCCTACAACCACGGAGTACCTGAGCCCTGCGGAGAAGCAAGCCGAGGCCGTCACATCCCGCAGCTTGAGTTACAGCGACTGCCGATTCCAGGTTGCCATTCCGTGGAAGGGTGGCACCAAGCCGAGTGTCCAGTCCAACAAACATCTCGCTTTGCACCGTCTGGAGTCTCTGCAAAGGGCACTTGACAAGCGGCCGTCAATCAAGCTGCAGTATACGAAAGTGCTGCAGGCGTACCTGGAAAAAGGATACATTCGACGCGTCTCCGAAGCGGCTGATCTCTCCATCCCTGACCAGTGGCACCTTCCCCACTTCCCTGTGGTACGGGATGACAAGACGACAACCAAAGTTCGAGTTGTTTTCGATGCAGCTGCCAAGTGCAACGGATATTCGATCAATGACCTGATGCATGCAGGGCCTAATCTGATGAACAACCTTGTTCATGTCCTGCTGCGCTTCTGTCTCGAGCCCATTGCGATCGCCGGTGACATTACAGAGATGTTCCTTCAGGTTCAACTCGCTCCTGAAGACCGCAAGTATCATCGATTCTTGTGGCAGTCGTCACCGGGCACCATCGACACCTTTGAGTTCCTGCGGCTGGTATTTGGCATCAAAGCCTCGCCATACCTGGCTGGCAGGGCGCTCAAACAAGTGGCAGAGGAGTGCTGTTCGACGGCGGTGCCTGCTGCTAAGGAAGCTATCGACCACAGCTTCTACGTCGATGATCTGCTCAACTCCCAACCAACTGAGCAACTGGCAATCTCTGTGCGAGCTGATCTGCAGCACACTTTGGCACGAGGAGGTTTCCATATTCGGAAA